GAGTATTATAGAGATTGAATACAGTTGTTACAGTTTAAACTAAAAAGTTTACTAGAGGAAAGTAAATTATAATTAATTCCTAAAGTGATGCAAAATTATATGCTATATCAATGATCAAACACTAAAAGTACTCATAATACATGGCATATTTCAAATATAATATATTATTCAGTTATTCGTACTGTAAGCAACTATAATTTCAATCCTTTCGAATCTGATTTTGATGACATATTTAAAAAATTTCTTAAATCCATTCAAAGACACTTTAATAAGTAATTCATATAAAAAAATAATTTTTTTCAAAATATTGACTATGTCTTCAACATGTACATTATTATATAGTACAGCTGATCTCAGTGATGTCGGTAGAAGTAAATAATTCTAACGTTAATAGTTTCAAATTGATGTACATTATAATAAATGTACACTGGAGGGATTTAGAAAAGAATATTCAACATCGAAGTTTTAAAATTGTTACAAAAGTCACGTGCATAATTTCTTTTGAAGAAATTTGGAGCAAGATCTAAGATCGCATCACAAGTTGTTTAACTTAGTTTTTTCTTTTGTTATCTAAGTTTCAAGTAACGTTGCAATATTTTATTCTCAATATATTGAAACTCTTCGAAAATATATTTGTGAATTTCTCATGGCAATTATATCGAAATTCGCAGATATCTCATAAGTCAGGATAAAATTTGAAAATTAGAGACTTCAGGAATTCCAAACAATACGAGTTGATATCTATGGGATCAGTAGAAAAGAAGCTTTAATCAAAGATAAAAAGAGAGCGAACAGATAATATTTCAATTCCGATACGGAAACAAATTATTTATTGTCAACATTGTAGGAAAAAAAAATAAAAAAATGTAATTAAAATAATTAAAAAACATTTGCTTCTTTAATAAATACTTAGACAAAATAATATTATGCAATAAACGAAATTATTAAACATATATCTTACTACTCGGATAGATGTCTTGAGAAAATATATGTTTTTTACAAACGACAATGACATTAGCAAAGTGAATAACAGTAGCGCAATCTTAATTGCATCTAATGGCGATTAAATCGTTAATGGTAGCGGTGCGCGATAACAACGATAATAACAAACGCAGGATGAAAGAGAGGAGAACCAGAGGAAAGACACAGGGGAAACGTACAAATGCAGCCTTTAAAGAGCTGGAAGCGACCCCCCTTGAGCATGAAGAGAGAGAGGAGGAGAAGAAGGGAACAGGTTCCCGGCATGGTTACCGCGTATTCACCGAGCTGAAAACCTTGGGCCTCATCTGGAGCGACAAAGAAGGAAGGAAAAAGAAGGAGAGAATAGCTGAAAACAAGAAAGGCAAAAGAAAAGAAAGAGAGAGAGAGAGAGAGAGAGAGAGAGAGAGAGAGAAAGAGAAAGAAGGGAAAGAAGGACAGGATATTTGCTCATTTCGCTCCAGTCGAGATTGGTCGAGATGCTGCGGTCGCAGACACACGATAAAGGTCGAGAAAGCAAAGGTGAGTTCACACGATGCGTATATCGCATCGTGCTCGAGGAGTCGCTGGTTCACCAGGAGGCCGTGCCGGTGAGCCCTTCTTGGTCCTTGAACTCGTCGCGACCGCTCGTCGCGAAAACGATACCTTTTTATTGGCATGCTGCGCTGAACGAGCTTCAAGATCGCTGGAAGCTGGTTCCTCGAATTTTAGAAGAAAAGGATTACACTCTAAATTTCTTACAGTGAAGTCTCACTCCAAGAAAGTGAAAATACAACCACCCTTGAAAAAAAGTGAAAATATTTTACTTTTTTGAAAAAGAATGAATTTTCACGTCAAAGGAATGAAATCTCACTCCAAAAAAGTGAGATTTCACTCTAAAAAGAGATCTAAAGATCGTCACTTTTTTTCAAGAAGTGAAACATTTTCGCTTTTTTTTTTGTCAAGGATGATTGCATTTTCACTTTCTTGCAGTGAGATTTCAAGAAATTTAGAGTGTAACTTATACGAATTAAAAATACGCTCTCATACGTATATTGAGGAAAATCTGATGAGGTGTTTGGTGTATTCATCATTACGACGTGATTATTAATCTTTCATCTTTATAATGTACAATAAAGTATTGTTATTATATATATAAATATATAAATTATATTATATAAGAACAGATAATTTATTATTAGTTTATTTTCGTATATGCTGGCATCTACTTTTTCTTTTTGAACTGAGAAAAGCGGAGAGACGTTTCAGTGACAAGTTAATTCGTACCTCGCTGAATTTTTCGGAGAGCAGAAGGAAGCGCAGCGAGACAGATTATTTCAGAACGGTAGGAAACGAGGTACCAAATGAGCTGCATTTCTGCGATTTGCACTAACGTATATTTCGTAACAGTGTCAGTCGTAATAATTAAGACATGTAAATTCTGGTGCCTCCAGAAACGTTTCAACGTTTTCATATTTTCAATGCGAAAATTGCAAATCTGAAATGCGCGACGGAATAGACATTTACGTCATTCTCCATTTGAAAAATTCATATTTGACTGCGCACAATATTTGGAAGAAATATTAGGAACAGGAATAAATATTAGAAAAATAAAAAAATAAAAAATAAAGATTAAATGTAACAGATAATAATGAATGCAAAAATAAGACATAAGTATGTCTTATATTTGTATCCATAGTATAATACGTCTTAGATCTTATTTATATCCATGCGTTACCTTTAATCTCTCTCCCTATTTTTTTAAATTTCTAATACTTAATATTTTTTCCGTGATTTTTCCGTGGTCAAGACCTTAGTTCAAAATTGTTGGTAAAATTTTCTCTTTCTAAGTTCTCATACACAACCAACACTGAGAAATATGTTTTGATTGATTGAAAGAATAAGATTAGATTCGATTAAATCGACAAAAAGATCTAACATGTTGGATAATCACAGTTTAGTTACGATAATCTGAAATTCTGTTTGACCTCACCATATAAAATAACCATACTCGTCGTCTTTATGTTAATTTGATTAGAACATTTTTCTCAGTGTACGCAACATGGCATGTCCTTTATCAGAAAAATTTCGCAAGATGACGCGTTAATTCCGTAAAACGGCGAAAGAGCCTACCAACACGGAAACTCGAAAGCGTGCGATCTCGGCAGGAAACTGCTGTACGCACCTGGCCCTCCCTCTTCTTCATCCGACCAAGCTCCCGGTCTGGGAGCAAAATGGCGGAGTGGTGGGGCCCCGAGCGAGTACTTCGCCATTCGCGTCAGTCGTTTTCCGGGCCCAGTCAGTGCGTCGTGTGCGCGAGTCTTATTCAGGATCCGTGTTCGCATCACGGAACAGAAGAAAGGAAGAGAAAAAGAGAAAGAGAGAGAGAGAGAGAGAGAGAGAGAGAGAGAGAGAGAACGCGTCGCTCGAAAGGCGCTTTGTTCCGGTTTTCCGTCCACTCGCTTCTGGTGCGCATTTTTGTGTCCGTTTCTTTTTTCGCGCTCATATTTATCAAGGAAAAATCACGAAGCGATTTTCGAGGATCGATCGATAGATCGATCACTCGAAGAAAAAAGGAAAGAACGCTCATCCCTTCCGAGGGACGAGAGACGAAGAACGATCTTTTAACCGAATCGGCGCATTGCTATTGTGCGCAACTTAGGGCCCTCGAAAGGTTACCGTAGGGCCGAAAATCCAGTGTGAGGTTAGTTTCGGGTTCAACAGCCAACTACCACGACGTCAGGGGATAACGACAGCAACGATATTTCGCCGAGGGACTCGATATTGTGCTCGACAACAAACGGAAGGTATTGTCTGACAAGAAGGAAAAAAAACGCCAGGTGATTTTTCGCGATGCAAATCGATCGCGCGATCGACGCATTTCGCGCGTCCGATTTTAATTCCCGCGTCTTTGCGTACCGATTTGCACAGATTCGGATGGAGAAGTGAAATAAATAGGTAGCTAATAACTTTATTAGCGTCTATTTACTCTAACAAGCGCATTGATGTAAATAGATGCTATGGTAGAAATATGGAGCATGTTGGAGCGACGCGAACAAACATATATAACGCTCCAATAATATATAAACAAAGTCCGCAATGTGGTCGAAAGACCTTTGTTTTGAGGTCTCTTTCGATTGTTGTTGGAATCCGAGAAAGCCGGGATTCAGGAATCTTTCGGAGCAGGAACCGAAATTCCGGTGTGATTCCGAGATAGAGATTTCGATGCTTAGGCACGCTATGATCGAAACGCGAGGCACAGCTGACACAACGAACACGAGTTCCGTGTAAATCGGAAATTGCATTTACCGATCGAACCTCGATGCTCGAAAGCAAAGTTTGCCGTTGACTTCATCGAAATAAGTCGCTTGCTCTTATCTATTTGTTCAGTCCAACTGGAGCTAGTTTTGAGATACTGCAGTAAAGAAGTAAAATCAAGTTAACTAGAATGAATCAACGTAAACGAGCGTAACAAACTCTTTTCTTTTAGCAGAAAGAAAAAAAATGTTCCTTACAGAAATTTAATATTGGCCATTTCACCACTTTTTTATATTAAAAATATTAAAAATATCGTTAAAACAATGTTTTTAATACCCAAAATAAGTGATTAATTGGCCATTGTACTAGTAAATTTCTATAAGGGATTTCTATAAGACATATACTATTCGTCCATGTTCATTAAAACGAATTTACTGCTTGTTCGCGATCATTTGATCTGGATTCAGCCATAGATTACGGATTGTTCCACTGTCGGCTATTGCGTGGTACATCGTTCGATTGCTCTTCGACGAGCGGTTTCAACGAGCGCAACTCGCCGCAACTCGAAGTCGAGAGAGAAACGCGCGCGTCTTCCTCAGCAGCAGCACGCTTAATCGACCTCAATTGGCAAAGCAGCCGGTTGAGAACGAGCGATCGTTTCGAACCGATCCGATATCGGCTCGCACAAGCCTCGGAATGAGTAATCCTTCTTTCACCGCGCACACACAATTCCTATTACCTGCGTAACAAAGTACACTTCGTTACGAAGCACAAACTCTCGCATTACGTTGTTCTCTCCTGCCGCTGACTCGCTATTTCCAACCGGCATTCTCGTTTTTCGCTATTCGACACAATTACGTACGTTTATATATCTTCTTTTATGTGTGTTACAATGAAATGTATCTTCGGATCTATTTGCAGCATTAAAATATATGTTTTACTCAACTCAGATAAAATATATATATATATATATATATATATATACACACGTATATATCTTACTCGCGTAAAATCTATATAAATCTATAAGAATAATTGAATTATATCAATTTTTAATATGCCGTTTAATTAGGTATAATAAAAATTATATCGGGCATAATTATTACTATAAATTATATTAATCCACAGAATTATAAATTTGTTTGCTCGCATATAAAATATTAAAATAAAGGCTTTATGATAAAATCAATTCATGAATAAATCAGAAGCATAAAAAATCAACGCTGGATTCTCTGTGTGTCAACAATTTTATATTTTTAAATTTATTGAAGATACTGAAGGTAACCTAATTAGAAAGTCAAAAAGTTTGTTATTAATGTACAGTACGAAGTATAAAATTTAAAACGCACAAAGAATCCAGCGTTAGCTTCTATGCTCCTGATTTATTTCATTATACATATTTGTCTTCTGAAAGAGAGAATAGAATTTTCATGTCAACTAGTTCTAAGCGCTAACGGTTCGTCTAGGAATGTGGAACAGGTCAAATTTTAATTCATTGTCCAGTTTGCCTTTGCTTCAGGCAAGGGCAAAAATGCTCTTTCCGGAAATCGGTAGACCTTTCCTAAACGGTAGGCATCTTCATCCGAGCTTCGACACAGGCAGGAGAAGCGACTCGAGAACGATCTCTTGATCACGAGCGGTTCGCAACGTGGCTACTTGTGTTCCGCTCGAGCGAGAACGGCTCGTGGCTCGTAAACGTGGCTCGATTAACGTGAAAAAGCGTCAACGCGCACGCGATCGATAGATCGTTCACGAGCCGAGCGAGTGAGAGACATATACATAAAATACAAAAATAAGATATGATAAACGCGAAAAAATAAAACGTGAACTAAATAAATATAGAAACGTGACGTGAAGGTATAAAGTAGAAGGCTTATTAAATTAGAGGAAAAGATATGCTGATGTGGTCTCCACTTAAAAGTCTTTTATAATTAATATTATCTCTTGCAAAAGAGATGTTTCTTCTTTTTAAATAGGTATCGTGAAACAATGGCTCACAACAATGTTTTTATTGATAATTTATCTATTCATCATTTTCGTATGTTTTCAATGTCAAATTTAACATGATTGAAAATTCGAACAAAATAAAAACATAACATAACAAAATAAAAAATTCCATTAAAAAACAAAATAGGAGCGTCTTATATCTCACTTATCATCTTCTTTAATAACAATTTTGAGAACAAAAGTGCTTTTCATTTGATGACAGAAGTCAACACAAGTATTGTTTTCATATCAAAAAAAGATAAAACAATGTTTGTATGGGCTTATATTATCAAAGAGAAAGCATCCAAAGATGTCTGCAATTTGATAAGATGAAGAAAATTTTTTAAAATATAGATAAATAACGAGATTATTTTCCATCAATAAAAGCTTAATTCCCGACTCCAAAAAACCTATGAAATTTAATGTGCTGTAAATTAATGTGCTGTATTTTTGGAAGTATTTTTTATCTTTCAGAGTTTCATATTTTTCTAATGCGATAAGAAATATCATTTTCAATCATGAAAGACATTCCTGGCCCTTTGTTTTCAATAAATCGAACGATATACGCGATTCTGGTACGGTAGATAGGACTGATTCGTGATTTCCCTGAATGAGATACGGCGATGATAAAGAACCGATGAAAGGACCTTGTACTTTAGTACCAGGAATTCAGATATGTATGCATAGCATTATCTGCCACCTCCGCATTTCATGAAAGACGTTAGAATTCTCCGCTTCTTTGTAATAAACGTTAGAAAACGATCGTGTAAATATACTATAAAAAGAGTAGGCGTCTCTTGTGAAGAAAAATGATCTTGCAAATTTCTTGAGAAACTAATTATGAAAATTTATTTTTATACAAAATAACTACACAGAAAACTATACATATATATTATAATAAAAAAATAATCTAATAATATGAAACGATAAAATAAATAAGAATAAAGTGAACAAAGTCCTGATGAAATAAACTGTAATGTACATGAAACATTCTAATGGCGTTCTAATAATGGATTTTTTTCCTACACAGAGATAATCCGCGAAATGCATAGCTTCTATAGAAAATAACTGTAAAAGCCTCAAAGGCATAAATAAGATTTTTTTCACGTGTCTATGTGACATTGAAATTATAATTTGATTTTATTATTTTAGCGAATGCTGTTAATAGAGTTTTTATTTTAAAATTGTACCGACTATATGAAATAATTTAAGCTGAGAGAAAAATAAATTGGCACGATTTTAACGCTAATCGGTGCTAGCCGTGAGAAAACAATAGTCTGCCTCTATCTCTCGACATGCACTTGAAAAAATGCTTCTGACGTCGATTTCTCTACATCTGTGATGTAAAGACAGTCTCCGCAGTCGATTTCTCAACCAGCCGTCATTCTCAAGGTCCTCGAAAGAACACAATTATTAAGAATGGACCATTCCTTCCGAATCATAAATCAAAATGAATTGTTTTGAAATCTATTATATCTAACAAAAAATATCCGGCATTTGTTAATTAATTAACAAAATTTTTTTACAAAAATATGTGTATCACAAAGACATACAATGATCGAAAATAAAATCAATTTAGAACTCGCAAAAGTATTAAGAATAAAATTAGTTTATGAAAAAATAGTAAAACGATAAAAGTAAAATTCAAATAATTAATTTTTAAAAGCTTAAATTGTAATTTCTCAGTCTATTAAAATATTCAATGATTATACGTAATTTTGCATAATTTATTTATAATTCTAGAGTACGTTATAAAGACAGAATGACGATCTAATTAATTATTATCATATTCGTCTTATTTCTCATTATTATATCACTGCCATCTATCGTTTTTCACGATGTCGAGACGCTGCCATTAACCTCCTCCTCGAACTCTATCGTCTTCATTCATTTTTCGCATCTCGAATGAATCGATGTGCATGCGTGCCTATCGAGCGTATCAGTAAAGCGTAGCGCTACTATAGTGCTACGAGTACGCTATGAAATATTAACGCGATGATGTTCGTTGATGTGTAGAATAACTTTCATGTACGAAGTCGGGCGAAGGCACGTCATACAATGTGTGTGTGTGTGTGTGTGTGTGTGTGTGTGTGTGTGTGTGTGCGCGTGCGTGCGTGCGTGCGTGCGTGCGTGCGTGCGTGCGTGCGTGCGTGCGTGCGTGTGTGTGTGTGTGTGTGTGTGTGTGTGTGTGTGTGTGTGTGTGTGTGTGTAACGTGCATCAATCTTCAGAATTGTAACATATACGAATGATGTCATGTAAAAGTATATTACCTATATAAATCTAGGTCTATATGAATATAATATAGTGTATAATATAATATGTGTAACGACAAAAACTTTTATATACTCTCTAAATCTGAATCAGTGGATAAGTCACTAATTATCCAGTGGCATACTTTGCACTGATAATCAGTGAAATTCAACTATTATAAAAAAGGAAGAATGTTTGAACATTATATAATTAAAATAATATTTTATTTATTGAATTAAAATACTGATATTTGCACATTAATTTCAATCTTCCAATACCATATTCATTAAATTTAAGCACTAAAACAAAGTTAGACACAATAAAGATTAGCTAGGTTAGGCATCT